AACAATACTATAAAAAATAAAGCTAACGATACTATAGTTAGAGCTAATTTAGTCCTTGAGCTCGTTACAGAAATGTGCAACATGAAATTAATCGATTACAACACGTATCGAACGCTCCGGTGGTATTTACTGCCAAAAGTACACAAACCACCGCCAGAGGTAGACTAGAGTACTTTTATTTGTAAGGGAATCTACGTTAGATCAATAATAAGTGGTTGATATGGTCCAACACAAAAAATATCAGAACTGATTGACCATTTTAAAATTCCAATCGTTAAAAGGCAACATACATACATCGGAGATACTACCGATTTTATTAACAAAATCTGAAAATAACGTTCTGGTAACCGTGGTTGTCGTATCAATGTATACTAATACTGTTCACAAAGAATTGATCCAAGCAACCACCAATGCAAACAATCGAATCACAATTTCGGTGACAGGCCTCTGAAATCACTACCTTGTGGATATATACTTAAACTACTCGAAATCATTTTGAAAAGAAACATATCGAGTTTAAAAATGAAAATTATACCCAAATATACATGAGTTAGCATGTGATCACCAGATTCACCTGAGATTGCTGACACAAAATTCCACCTATTGGAAATTCAAATTTCACTACTCAGTGCTCAATAAATCCAAACTTGGAACCGTTTTTAGATTGACATCTTCATGGTATTCAATGGTACCGTGCCAGTAGTAAACTAATTCGTTAAGGAAGCTAACATGCTTCATAACAAATACCGACTCACATTTGAATACTCCCTAACGCAAGTCACGTACCTTGACCGATATAAAGGACAATGCTTCCATGCTCTGAAAACGCACACAAAGACAACGGAAACGTTTTAATATTTAAAACGAAATTCTTAAAAGGATTTACAAAAGGTGAAACAATTCGGTATGCTCAAACATGCAATAATCTAAACGATTTCTTACAAAAACGTGATCTATTTATTGAAACATTGCGTGAAAGAGATCACACAGATAGTGAAATCGAAAGATACTCTTCAGTTAATGAACATAACAATCGTATGACAAATTTAGGTGAAGGCCAAACAATATTCACAACTACATTCAACCCATATATGTGTATACAAGGGTTTATGCTCAAAAGAACCCTATTAAAAAAACTGGGACATAATTCGTAAAGACCAGTGACACGTTTACAACCCCCCCCCCAATTGCATTTTGTAGAAATAAAATCTTAAAAGATAAACTTACAAGTACAAATACTCAACGCAATAACTCGTGAAAACGACGACTTTCCATTTTAACTGTATAATGAAACAAATAACGTCAAACATGATTGTGAAAGCTATAAATAAATTGAAAGATTCGGTCAATTACTGTTTCGACTGATGATGGGTTCAATAAGGATCCCGAAACAGCACCATCACACAAGTGAATAGTCCAATTACGGATCAATTTGTGTGCCGTGTCGACATTTCTTCGTATTCAGTTTCGCTTCCAATATTTTTTCCGTGTTTACTTTTGTCAGTATCATACAGAATACACGTTACGTATTTAGTTAACTAATGCAATACTGCCCTCAGTCGGTAAGATGTTCGTCAATCCACCAGCCTTTTTGATCCCCTTTTTAGTAGTTTGATGAAATTGCTACATTGATTGAATATAAAATAGTATGACGTTATTACGAGAATATCTCAAAGTATGCACGAAAACAGTACAGCGGAACAATCGATATGACGGTGTACCGTCTGAGTGCATACTTTGAGGTATCCTCGTAATAACGTCATACTTTGTTATTATACATCCTTCCCTTCAAAGGATACATAATGGAAATGCCAACATCCAAAAGTTTAGAACAGAATCAGCAAACTTCTTTGTATGGAGTCCGGTCAAACCCTAGCTGCAGCTATGTTTGTTTTCAGTATTAGAGGAAGCTTAAGTACGTGCATAATCATTCCATATTTGGAGTTCGCATTTCCTAATATGGTAGGATGAAAATACCCTGTAAAATATCACACAATCACGGCATGCTGTAACTTTTGGCTTGACGGTGACAGATGTATAATAATAATTAGACTAGGTGAGGTGTGTGTATTCAAAGGAAAGAATGAGTGGTTCCATTTGAGTGAATATACACCAATAATTGTGACATTGTGTGTGATTGTTGGATTTACTACATATAATCCACTGCTGTATCAGTGAATGAGTGGCTTTACTTCAAACAATATTGAATAAACACTTTCCAAGTTCAGACATGCAGGATATTGACCACAAAATCTTTCAGGGACAATGTTAACTTGACACAAACGGAAATACATAGTTTAATAACTTTGTCCCTCAAATTCTTCTCATGGTTTTTTCCTGGAAGACAGATGTATTACATCACCATTGTTCAAAGATAACAAGTTTATTTTATATATTTTATATATATATAATTCATCAACCACAATATTCACTAAACATTCTCTAATTCAGTTTCAAATTGAATAATATTGTTCAAAATATTCATTCATATCTTTAAGTGATTATTAAGGACATCTGTAACAGCCCACTTTTTTACTATATAGCTGTATATTCCAGGTATATTCAGTGAGAATGGGATGTACATGATAATAATGAATTAAGGAATAAAGAACACGCAGTAAAGGAGAATTACACCTGTAACCCATCAGCATGCCATTGACAAAGCGATATTGCTTTCCTAGGATGATTCAGTTCTATATGAAATGTGATTAGTACTGCAATAGACTCGCACATTGACTGACTATTAAAAGCATTGCACATGGAAGCTTTATTTTTTTTCAAATTTATTCATTTTACCATCAGGTTTTAAGGCACGAGTTAAATATAATATTTAGTTTGTAAAATATTAAGATTGATCAATGCACTTTTATGAAAGTCTCAAGAAATTGCTGACATTTAGTGAAGAGAATGGTGATTATATAAAGTCATGTACCAGAAAGATTTTCGAGAAAAATGTGTTATTTTATTACGGAGTAAATACATAAAGTAAACAAGTATTTGCATTACATAATCCCTGTTTAAGAAATATATGTTTGAACATGAAAGGTTAGAGAATGCCTGGAACTGTATTATTAAAAACAAAATGGCCACCAGACGACCATTTTGAATTTTATCTGGAAAACAATGATGGGACAGCAACGTCCCCTCATGTTCAATGAACACAAATTTGTCCATGCACGACCAAGATCCAGTTCTTGAATGGCAAAAATGCTCTATTTTGATGAATTTTAACATTGAAATGGTTGCTATTCGACCATGTTGAATCAGATCATTAAATGAATATATGTGTGACATGATATATACATAACAGGTTTAACATGGCTCCAGGAAAGCACTTAAAACAAAATGGCTGTCAGTTGGACATTTTTAATCCGATCTGGAAAAAAATGACGTTCATCAAAGTCCAATAATGTCTAAATTGTTTGTACCAAGTTTGAATGAAACCAATACACAACTAAAATCAGATTCCAGAACGACAGAAATGCTTGATCTTGATTTTGAACACAAAAATGATCACCATTTGAATCGCATTGTAAAATGAATGGACGTGATTACGTGATCCCAAGATTTAAGATGTATGTGTAAAGTTTTAATGTGATCAGTCTAAGTATGTTTAAATGACAGGCAAGTCCCCTTTTACGAACTGTTTCTAAATGGGAACTAAAAAGTAAAACACAACTCTTTCACAATTACAACAAATCTTTTACTCATTTTGACCAAATAAATACAGATTTGATGGCTTTTTTTTTGGTTGTGATTACAAAACTTAAGCATTAGTTAAAACAAAATTAGCTTTCTTATATATAGTCATAAACCTGCACAAGAAAGGAAAATGAAACTACCAGTATATTTATCAATCTGAAATGAATAAAAACAGTCATGAAAATGAAACAGTTAAGTTGCCAAAATAAAAATGCTGAAAATTCTAATTAGGTTAACCAATACTGTGGATACATCTGATGTAATGCAGTTGTAAGCTATGCACATAAATTAAAAAATTATATCAAAGAAACAAACATATCAGTATATATCAGAAAGTGTATTAGAATTGCAATTTAATATGTAGTAGACTTGTATGAATGGTATTTAGTGATGCTAAAAAATACTACTCTGTAACTGAAATACATTGGCTTGATCATAATAAACACACTATTTCTAATTAAATTAAATGAATAATATTACAGGAAATACCGGTAATACATAGTCCCCAACCATGTTAAAGTAGAGCTGTAAATACAGTGATTTAATTGATTTGAATACTTCACAAAGTGTTAAGTGTTTATGGTAATCACCTATACATAACATTATCACACTTTAATAATTTAATAACACTTACACATTCCCCGGAGGGATTGGCAATGGTTACAAAAATTTAAGAAGGAACAAAAGGTTATAAAAAAGTAAATAGATAAAATAAAAGAAACTAATCTAATACATTACAGAGAAAAAAAAATATTAGGATTAATCATTTCACAAGTGGTTTTATTGAAACCCAACAGAAATGGCAAACATACAGAAGAAGTTTAGTTATATATTCATAGCCAGCACAAGTGATGAGACATGTACATGTACATGTAGTATATCTCTATAATTATCTAGGGGGAGGTCATGCATATCTAAAGATGAAACTGTCAAATTTTCATCACCAGAAATTTGAAAGAACAAAATTACAAAAGTCAGTGTAACTCCCTGTCTTAAAGACCCCAGGAAAATTGTCAATGCTACAATAATTCACAAATGTGCAGACTTGCGAAAGTGTTACTCTAAAATCAATATATAGAATCACCATAATCTTACATGTGAATTAATGATATATATGGTAAAAACATACACTCCTGACAACAAATTGTGGCATGGAAACTTAGCTTGTATATTTATAAAAAGCATTTCTAAAAATCACCTCAACCTAATTCAACATTACAACAGCTGCAACAATTTTAGAGCACCACCAATATTCAGAGTAGAAAATTCTTTTGTTTTTATTATTACTACCATATATTTTATGTGAAAGTAATATGGTACTCAGGATAAGCCATAGCATCGTTAAAGACAACAAAGAGTGTAGGACTTTGGACATTATCTGTAACACTATCATAACAATCTGTTGGATCATTTGGATTCTTAGATGGTGGTACAAGCAGTCCTTGGCTACCTGTAGTAAATTCACCAGTTAACACTTTGCAGTGGTAGACATGCTTATGACCAGTATTAGGATCTACAGGTGAATAGGTCTTACTTGCTGAATAGCTGGATTCCACAGCAAAATAGCTGCCAGCACCATAATAAGTTGCTGTAAAAAATGGTAACAAAATCTATAATCTCTTTCTTGGAATCACGATTAAATAGGCAATATGACCCTCCCTCCAAATGCTATTGTTGTGGAACAGTATAAAAAATTCAAGTTTTAACTCAACTTAAGGATTAGCAATTCCCTAAGGTAATTTAAGCCCATTCAATACATGGTAAAAAAAAGCCTTCTCTGTAAGATTATAAATTTAAATAAATTATCAGATTGAATCAAATCTTGCTACAGTAACATGCACTCATACCAAGTTTCAATGAAATCAGCTTGTACATTTCTGTTTTACCAAACATGTAACAATATGAAAATTAGGTTCTACTCATAGAGCCCAAAGTTTTGTGTACTGCTACTACACATACTCACAATTCACCATGCGTTTGATTTTAATTTACACATGAGAAGTTATTGTCTCCATAAAACTCATGGGACCATGGGTTGTTTTGTGCTTTATATGCTAATGGGATTATTATTTTGATGATCATAATTTCATAATATTCATTTCAAACACTATGAAATGATAGTCAGTATTGATGACATGAAATCTATAAAGCACTCACCATTTTTACCAGCAAAGCTTCTGTTAAACCCACCAGTATTGATTTTACCAACACTGTCACTACTCGTGCCATGATATAGAATCCTTTCGTTGTTTGTTCCTTGTTTGTTTTTAGCATCCATGGTTTGTTTAAGGATTACATATTGTCGAAATACAATCTTGGGTT